TTCAGGGGGGGGGGGGGCGCGGAAAATCTCTATTGCGACGGAAGTACAGAAAAAGATGAACTGCAAAGGTATGCTTAAAATCGTGTGACTTTGTCACATTCTTTACTAACGACATTTTAACTTCAGGGCTTACAATTTGAAATTATGTCCACGCAAGAAAGTAGGGAAAAAAAAATAATAACAAAAATTAAGATGAAAACGATTTCAGATGAGTCTGCCCGAGTCAGTTTATCTCAAATATGTATCCCTTTTGGGGCGATTACATTTAAAACCGCATTCCAATTTTTAAAAAAAATATAATAAAATCATTACATCTCCCATCCTATGTCAAAAATGTCAATATCAACGTTTATCATTGTTATTATTATTATCATATGTGACATTATAATCGACATAGTCATTCAATAATATTATTTATATAAAAATGAACATACGTTAAATACATCAGCGAGGCTAGGGCGCGCCCCTGTTGCATTAAATAAAAGCACCTTTCAGGCACCCCGGGTACGCCACGGGAGGTTTTACAGTACAGAGTAAACAACCAGACCTCCGACAGGAACCAAGGCGCCGCCTACGATGGTGGCGATGTAAGAGTATCCGATGTCTAAGGTGAAGCTCGCCTCCTCGTGCACGTAGGCACCGTACACTATGAGACATGTGAGCGTTGAGAAGACTGCAGCCGTCAAGTGCACCCATGGACATCGACGGAGACATGAAGAGAGAACACGATACAAATAATCAATTACTCTACAAAGCAGTGAGTGTAGATAGATAAATATATATATATATATATATATATATATATATATATATATATATATATATATATATATATATATATATATATACTAGATAGAGCCCGCCAAACATTGGCGCGTGAACTTCCGTTCTAGTAAAGTTACTTGACAAAACATGAACTCAAGTAGCGCACAATTAAGAATCCCAATATTTGCTACACCCCTTCCCCCATGATAAGTCACTGACACACTTTTTATTTCACGCCCATGCATTATATTAATAGTCTCATGTCCCAACCACTTTTAAACCGAATATTTTTTACACAATACTTAACTTGAGACGATTTCATTTCAGAAAAAAGATATTACGCACCAACCGCAATTGTGTTATTAAATATATATATATATATATATATAAATCATATAGCGTAGTTATCGGGAATTATATTTTGAGCGCTAGTGAACTCATTATTCAACCACACTTTAGCGTATCTATAAATAGCCTGCGTGGTGTTTAACCCATCTTGTTTGACCTTTGCTGACGAATTATATATATATATATATTGAAATATATCATCTTTTGTATATGATGGTGGATATCAAGGCATTTTCAAATTTTGTCGCATGTGTTTTCCCAAGTAGTTTATTACACCTTTGTTTAAAATGGCTTAAGTTCAGCTGAGAAAACAGATTTTTTTTTTTTGATATTATTATGTCTGATATTTACAACCCTGTCAGGGATTTATGACTCGGTCAGTGTTACATAACTCTGTAAGGGTTTCATAAATCTGCCCGTAATCAATAGCTCTGCAACGGATTTATAGGTAATGATTAACAACTTATTGCGTTACATTGTGTCAGGTTTGCAATTACTTTGCTTTGGCCATTTCCTATTTCGCTAACCTGACTGCAGTCTCTCCCCTTATTACAACAGATTTATAGCTCTATAAATTGGTTAATATGTGCACAAAACTATTTGTAGAGTTAGAAAATGGTTCCTATCTCCAAGTGAATTCATAAAATTATAACGAAGTTGTCACTCTTTGTATATGGTAAAAAGGGAGATGAACGTAACAAAGTATGGGAAAACCTGAAAAAACGTATTTTTTCTCTCTCTTATGCCCCTTTTTGCTTTTATTTCATCCCTCACCTAGTTACATTGTGTCACAATCATCGTACTGTGCTATCGACTACTACATTAAAGCAAAATATATGTTCGCTGACGAAGACTTCTTGCCGAAACTTGTTTTTGGGTTGCATTCTTATATCCAGGTTTACCCATACTTTTCCTCGCTTATTTCCATTGACAGCTGTACCAAGATTCCTTTCCTGCATATAGTGTTAAAGATTGCACGAACAAGGCGGGTCTATACCTACACGCAATGACACACAGGCCGGCCACCGTTCTCGCCATCCTCTTGCCGCTCGCCGCGCCGAAGATGGCCATCAGAAACACCAGAAAAGTGACCACCACCGCTGCGATACTTGCGATCAGACCGACGCTCCCAGAGATCTGAATGGCTGTTATCTTGGCTGTAAAACAAACACACAAGGAAAATGAAAAAAAAACAAAACATACCAATAACTGATGGCGAAATTTTGTTTTAAAACAAAGAATATTGTCCGTTTTTTAAAAATGAGGAAATAACCACAAGTTTGACCGATGTTTTTGGAACTTCTCATCGGTTTGTGTGTGAATAACTAATGTTGAAGATATAAGGAGGGGGGAAATGCAATATTCAAGGCCTTTAGCTTTGAGATTATTGCCGTCATTATGCCATTTTTTCTTTGAAGGAGCTTCTAAAATGGTTTTTGTGTGTGAAAATGTGTCCAAAAAAAAAGAGGGAATTTTCAAGGGTCATAGCTCCAAGAAAATTGCTATCATTACGCCATGCTTCCTACGAAGGAATTTCAGATGAAAAAAATTGTTTGCCATTGCACCAAGTCGGCTGTGTTAGTATAAAAAACCCTAGGGATACAATTTATGAATCAAACGTCCACATGTTAAATTCGGTTGATTGTAACATATTGATATACGGTGTACATTTACAGTTGATTGAAAGGCAACCTTTTCGTGTCATAATAGTGATACGTAGATCTAACTAAGGGTAAGGAGGAACTATAAGAAAAGAAGCCATTATTGTAATTTGATTATAAGATGACAGTTGGGAAGGTGTGATCGAATGTTATTCTTCTAAATGAAAGTGCTGTTTTGTGACTGGACTTCAATAATTATTTATCATCATTCTATTCTATTAGTCATCAAATGTGAACTTTATTCTGTGTAGTGTGATTTATTAATACATAAGTGATATGTGAAGTATTTAAGTTTTCTTTCTTATAGTTGTAGTAAACAGTGTGTAGTCTCTAAATAGTTAGCCCTCCGGACTGATATTCATTGAGATATCCGCTCTAGACATACTAAGATCATAAAAAAACAGTAAAAAGTCGGATTGATAACCCCAGACAATGAAATAAACTACACAAACTATTTCGATGATATATCTTGGCTTCGTACAAACGTGAAAAACCGACGATGTATCGTGGATCGGAAAGAGTTAACATAAAATATCAACAGTGATATCAGTGTGGAAAGAGAAGTTACATTGAAGTGCGTCGTTTTTCAGTCTGAGATATCAGCTCTGGACATATGAACTTAAAACATTAACAATTATTTCACTGTAGGAAGAGAGGTTACATTGAAGTGCCTCGAGTTTACGTCTGAGACATCAACTCTGGACAAATAAATTTAAAACATGAACAATTATATCAGTATAGGAGGTGCATTGAAGTACCTCGTCTTTCCATCTGATACATCCGCTCTTGACATATTAAATTAAAATATTAATAGTTATATCAGTATAGGAAGTGCATTGAAGTACCTCGTCTTTCCATCTGATACATCCGCTCTTGACATATTAACTTAAAATATTAA